CAAGCAAGCAAATTTTCTCGTGCGCATTTCGCCGCCAGGACCGCCAGGACAGGGTTATGTTAATTGAATTCGTGGGGCGTGCGGCTCCAGGATTTACGTTGGGCTTTCATCCACGATCATTATTCACAAACCAAGCCTGTTCGTTTGGAGTGTTTTTTTGGTGAAAAATCGTGGAGAGACTTGGTTTTTGGTCGTACGGGGAGCAGTGTGGAAAGAGGGAGAACCTCATTCTCTGACTGACTGTCTCACGCTTACAGCAGGGCGAAGCTAGTGGGACGGATTTCACTAGACCAAGGACGGAGGGTGGAAATTTCCTGGCTCGACAAGTACAGTACACACCTTTTGTAATTGCTTGCAAAGGCTTAGAAGCTATTAATAGGCACTACCGGTACTTGTTCATGCATGCGCTGCTGTTTGTAATTGCAGTCTGAGAAGCTATGTCGTCTGTTCTTACCTGTTGCTGCTGTCTTTAATCGCAGGCTGAGAAGTTAGGCAGCAAGCGGTTGAGCGAGCAGGCCACGAAGCGGCTCAAGGACATGGCAGCGGCGGCGATCAGAAGACGAGAGGAGGCTTTGTACGACGCCAGAGAGGCTGCTGTAAGACAATTCACAACACCAGTACCAAGCATTAAGTATTACCAGATGAGTAGCAGAGGGCCTGAGAACCCGATCATGACCTGGGGCTCCTGTCGATTTTCAGCACCAGTGATGGCCATGGTGATGAGAGCAACGTGTGTACAGTACAGTATGCATAGCACCAGGAACGAATGTGCCCTGTGCGGTAAAACCTTTGACGACTATTCATAATAGGGTGCAGCTTGTGGGAACCATGGCGTGAAGCGAGCGGGATACCCACGGCGGTGGCACATGCGTATCCACGGGGTCACCTCTACTGCTTCGTCCTCTCGTCGTTTGTGTTGTCGGCGCCGCTCTCTGACTCTGGCGTGGATCCCTGATGTGACTGCACCATGATCACACCGCTTTGTCCATACTAATCCTTGAATGTATTTCGGTGTGCGTGGAGTAATACATTGATTTGACTGCACCATAATCACACCGCTTTGTCGTTGCTACAACTTGAGTATTTCTATGTTTGTGGTGTATTTTGGCTGCACCACACACGGCTTTGTCAGTGCTAATGCTTGACCGTTTCCGTGTGCGTGATGTATTCCATGTGTTCCCGCTGGTATACCGTGGTATACCGTGGTCTGTCTGCAGCGGGTGATGAAGAGCCGACGGGACGAGTCATCCAAGGCCGCGGCGAAGGCGGCAGAGGAATTTGCCGCCAGGGCCATGAGCTACGCCGAAGAGGCAATCCGAAGATCGGAGGCACAGGACGAGGACCAGGATGCCGGCCCGACGAAGTGCTTCGCCATCTTTAAGGCCGAGGGCTTCGGGATGCTGGAGGCTATGTCGCAGGTGTGTGGGAAACACCGAAACATTAGTTGCGTTGCACAGTGCCTGAAGAAATATATTTTGCGATGCATCTAGCACTGCTGTGTGCCTGTTGCCCCTAGGCATTTCGTGGCAGTTGTTTGTCTCTCTGCTGAGGAAGAAGTTTATATTTTGTTGTGGTCGGAAGGACAAGGTCAAATCTTGTGTTGAGAACCGCGGGGGCTTCGAGATTTTTTTATTGTGGTTGGGGCTGTGCCGATCGGTGGACCACTTTCTCGTCCACGGAAGAGGCTCAAAGTGGTGTTGGTTATTAAACCTAATTTTCGTTTTTTCCCTCCCTTGCATCCCTGCCAAGATGCTGCTCGTCATTCGCCACCTATGGTTTGTGCCTACATGGTGATCAATTTTTGTCCGTGATGGCTGCTCCGCCTTGTCCTGCCATGCAACCGAAGAATGGTGTGCTAGTCCTCTGTGCTTACGTGTCGCACTAACGCTAGCATCGCGTCGACCCTTTGACTCCACCCGTTTGTCGTTTGTCGGGGTCGTGTCCTCAGGTAATGACCGAGGTGCCACAAGACGAGGTGGAGCTAAGTCTTCTTAAGACCGGTCTGGGTTCAGTAACTCAGTCCGACGTAGAAGCGGCAGCTCTTGCACAAGCTTCTATCTTTACCTTCAATGTCGGAGGCGTGCCGGCGGACGTAAAGGTGGGTCGCGCTTAACCTTGGGTAGCGTTTTTTCCTTGGACAACACGTGTGCGGTGGGTGTCCAGCAGTTCGAGGTAAATAGGCGTGTGTTGACTGTCTGACCGAGGTTATTGCAGGCGCTGTTGGGTTGTGTGCTGTACGACGGCGATGAGATGTCTCACGCTACTCTCAAGTTGTATTAGTCGTTGTGGGTTGCTTGTAGACAAGAAGGAAGGAAGGAAGGAAGGGAGACAGCAGCACCCAAGGGGTGTCGCCGAGAAAGTCTGTCTTTGCAACGGTTTGGCGTTACGATACCGGTGTGCTCGTCCTTCGTCGTGATGGTGTTTGTCGCAGGCAAAGGCCCAGAAGGAGGGCGTGCAGATCCACAGCCACGACGTGATCTACCGATTTCTGGACGACGTTAAGGCAGTCATGTCCAGCCTTTTGCCCCCGGGCTTCCAGGAGACCGTGATCGGCGAAGCCAAAACCCTGCAGGTGCGGCCTTGGTCTGTTTCTCTTCTCTCGCTAGCTGTCTGTCCCCTCGACGCGCAATGACGTTCAGTGAGCATGGCGAAGCATTCAACTTTTTTTTTTTTCATTTTTTGCCTCGCGAGACGTTGTTATCCACCGTTTCCTGCGCAATACATTGGCGCATCTGTGTCCTTCTCGACGTTGTCGTGTTTTGCTGGACCAGTTGTTATGTCGATAGAGCTATGTCGAAACTCTTGTGCAGTATATGGCATAAGACATCACACCAGCTGGGGGCTTATTTTCGATGATCGACTACTCTACAGCAGGGTGTCGTTGCCCAAAATGACAACCAAGTTCGGACCGTCTCGTCGAGAGCTTTCCGGAATAATAGCATGTGATCTATTCACCCTCTTCGTCGTGGAGTATTGCAGGTTTGAAGATCGGTCCTGGGGGTGTGATATCTAATGTCACCTTCGATGCATGTCACGTGATGGATGCAACGCACAGGTTTTCGAGACCACCGGCAAGAACAAGGAGACCGTTTCGGTTGCTGGTCTCGCCGTGTCCTCCGGTAAGCTTAGCCGAACCCACTTCTTCAGGGTGATAAGGGACGATGAGGTGGTGGCGGATCGAGCCAAGGCAGCCTCCATGAGGCGACACAAGGATCGGGTCAATGAGGTCACCAAGGACAAGGTGTGTTTGTTTTCAAGCGCTTGTACCTCCAGTGCAGTCAGAAATGAGACGGGCACGCTGATGGAAGCCGTTGAGCTCGCGCGAGCGTTGGGTTGTTGAAGTGATGCCGAGGGAATTTTTGAAGCGTGATCCGCAATATGCGGCAGGACTTGTGCTGATGTGAACTGCTCTGTGCGTGCCACAACGCGGACAACGCCATCGGGGGTGGGAGGTTCGATGCGATATGTAGACCATCTTGGTGAGTTGTGTTCGTACATACGGTGCCTGCAGAGTGTGTTGGAGGTTACGTGCAGCATTTTTCCCGGACACTATCCGTACCCAAGCCGTGTGTGCGCTCTGTTTGAACGGCCTCCGTACCCTGGTGCTAGATACACGAAGATGAAGTGTCGACTTTCAAACTGTTGGTTGGTTTTGTCCGGCACGCCCTCGAACCCATGCAGACTGCGTGACGAAACTCATGTACAATAGCTGAGTGGGCAAGGCATACAAGACCAGATGTACCACAGCCAAGACACCTGAGAGAACCAATCTCATCACGAAGATATACATACAATTCTGCCGCAACCCCACAAACGCGATTTGCGCTACATGTCTACCTTCCTCTTTTCTCACGCCCCCCCCCCCCCCCCCCCCCCCCCCCCCCCCCCCCCCCCCCCCCCCCCCCC